AGGAAGTCAAACCAAGAGTTGCTTTGGCTGTGTAGTATTGCTAACCTAGATGTGTTAGCTTTGCCTGATATGTAACGTTACTGCAGCCTGCCTCTCCGCGGAGGAGGTGCTCTGTAAGGAAGTCTGAAGGAAGGGGCGGATTCTTTTTGGCTGTGTACTTTCAAATTTGAGTGCTCTCGAGCCGGTTTCTGAAACTTACCTACCCCACCTTTAAGGAAATGGTAAAGCTGAGGTAGAAAGTGTCTATGGGAGGCGTTTGAGCCAAAGTCTTCAGCAGTTAGGCCTGTTTTGAGAAGGGACATGCTAAAATTCCAATCCTATGAAATGAAATGAAATGTGTACTTATCTACAGACTTGTGACAACGTTTTGGGGCTACTCCTGCATTAGGTTTTAGATAATTAAAAGGGACATTTATTGGAAAGTTGAGTGAAACACACACTTTGTTCCCACACAAAATGTACCACCTGAAAAACAGACATGGGGGTTGAATTATTATTATTATTATTATCTAGCGAACATCCTCGACTTTCCAACCCCTACAGCCTTTGAATCATTATTGGAGCCATGGCCAATCCATCCTCTTTGTTAAGGAGCCCTCTTGATCTGCCCCACTGGCTGAGCTGTCTTTCTCTCATCCTCCCCCTCAGATTCCAGACTGACTTTGCTGCGGTCAGTGAATGGCTGCTCGGTGCCAACAAACACCAGAAGACCTGGTCCAACCTGGCCGACACCTCAGACCTGAGCCAGGAGTGTGTTCACAACAATCTCATCAAGCTCCTGGTAAGGCTTCCTTACATTTTATACGATAAACAAAGAATAACCCTGGTCAACCTTTTATTGTCCTGCGTGCATAGCTACAGTGTAGTTATGACAATGGAAATCTTAGGTCACAGGCTCCTCCAACAGTGCAACACAATAACACAGATAACATAGTGCAAGTAAATCAAATCAAATCAAATATAATAGAAATTGTGCAGAATAGTCTATATAAAAGTAATTGGAATATTGATATATATAAGTTGCAAACAGAAGAATGTTACGGATGTTCTTTCAAAAGTTCAGGTTTAACAGTCTTAAGTCCTAACAACCTCAGTTCTTTTTGAACATGTTACTTTCTTTAAACAGCACCAAATTGCAGGTGAAACATAGGAAAGAAATATTAAAAATGGGGTTATGTCTATAGCATTGATATTTATACCTGGCTGCTAAATCAATCAATATATATGCCGTTAATAACTGTGTAATTTATACCTGGCTGCTAAACCCTTGTTACTGTTACAAGGTATGTATCTTGCATTTTGTAAATTGTGTAACTTGCTGCTGTTAAATACCGTCAAACTATGTGCAATATGTACTTTATATACAGCCATCTTTAATAACTGTAATATATACCAGGCTGCTAAATCCTAAGAACTGCTACAGGATTTGATTTGTAGATTTGATTTGTTTTTGATCTGTATTTTTGAAAATTATGTAACTTTTTATCTTTTTTTAGCATATTGTTTATTGTTTATTATATTATAACTTAGTACTTTTTTAGCATATTATTGTGTTGTTTGTTTGTTATATTATAACTTAGTACTTTTTTAACGCATTTAAGATATGCAACACTAAGCTGTCTGTGGCTCTTTCCTGCTGTAACGCTGCAAATTTCCCCTCTGTGGGACTAATAAAGGTATTCTGACTCTGAACTATAAACTGTCTTTTTAAATAAAACAACCACACAAATCTGTCTGCGTAAGCATGCACACGTAGTTTCTGATTCAAACACACACAGCAGTCCAAAATGCATCATCCTCACATGATAGACTTCTGACACTGTTTCGCTAACACCCAGGACTTCTCCATGGAGATTGAAGCCGTGTCGGTGCAGAGGGCATCAGCAGCCAGGAGAGCCAATCAGCTGCTCCACCTGAGGGAGGCCGACTGCCCCGGGCTGAGGGCCCAGCTCACACAGCTAGAGGGAAGCTGGAGCCAGCTGACCTCTGACCTCTCCAAGATACAAGACCGGCTGCAGCAGGTACAGGACACAAACATAGTTTTCAACTTGGAGACACTAAGAGTTGCACTGTGTGATTAAAAGTTACTGTTGAATAATTTCCTTTAAAAAAAGAGGCCTTGGTCATGATGACTTTATACCAGGGGCATCCGATGTCTTATTAACTTAACATGACTTTTTTTCACTTAAATTTACCGGCCCTATTTTCATTGAAGTGCTGTTGGTTTTCAGAAATAATTAGGCATGGAGAAATCCCCTCCAGTGAAGGGGAGTATGAAGCCTGTTTAAATCATTTTGGGGTTAAAGGAGGACAGAGAATTTTGGGAGGACTTAAAGAAAGAGTTGAAGGACTTAATCCCCGCTATTTATCACCAGTGAATGGAACCAGATTTTTTATTTCACAATCATTTTGGCACCAGTCCTGCCAAATGTGTCTTGTAGGATGTTTAATTTAATGTCTTACACTTTTGAAATCCCCCTGGAAGAGGAAGAAAATATGTTATCTACAACAGATGGATTTGAACATCAAGATGTCACAAAACAGATTACAGATTTAAATGGAACCGTTTTTGCTGTATAACTAACTACCTAATTAAAAATGTTCAAATATTGATGTATTTAAGTAATACATTCTCTGTTGTCTGGGGTGTTTTAGCGTCTGCTGGCAGCATGGCCGCCGGTGGAGCTGCTCTCTGACCTGGAGGACCGGCTGAAGAAGCTTCAGGCTCAGACGGACCAGGAGAGAGAAACCGTCGCCAAGGCCGAAGACGCTGCTCAGATCACAAAAATCCTGCATCAATACCGGGTAATAATATCTCCTCCGTCCCACTTTGACTTTTTTCTGAGTAGCTCGTCAAGAGCATTTTCATTTGAAGAGATACTTCAATGTCAGTGTTTTAAAGAAAATCTGCAATCTACCAATTTTGGATACATTTGCTTGACATTCGGTCAATTAGCGTCTCAAAAAAACAGGTTTGTTCAACCATAAAGTGAAATCTATTGGGAACTAATAAAGTTTTGTTTTTCAAATTCTATTCTGCAGTTACTTTATGTCGGGTAATAATATCTCCATTTTTGGATACATTTGCTTGACATTCAGTCAATTAGCGTCTCAAAAAAACATATTTTTGTGAAATATATTGGGAATTAATAAAGATTTGTTTTTTTAAATTCTATTCTGCAGTTACTTTATGTCAACAAAATAAATCTACCAACCATATTCATTCATTAAAGCTGGATTTCTACAAAAACTAATTATTTGATTGGGCGTAACTCCTAAAATATTGAAATGACTTGTTAAAATGAATTTACTTTGAAAGGCAATATGAAAACTTAGCACTCAAAGAACATTCAATTAATGAATTCTATTTTAATGTAAGGATGTTTCTGGTAAGACACTAAATGAAAGACCGCTTTGAGAGGAGGATGATACATACTGATATTTCACAGAATGCAAAATCTTATAAAACTAGCAACCTCCTGTTTTTCCTTCTTGTTTGTATTGATTTGTATCTGTGTGATGTTCTGTCTCAGGAGTTAAAGGCAGGCTTGTTGAACGGGCAGCTCCTTCTGGACTTCCTGTGCCAGTCGGGCCCTCCGGTGCTGGGAGTGGACGTCCGGGCTCTCCGCTCCGAACGCACGATGTATGCAGAGAAACTCGGCGCCCTCAGACTGCAGTGGCTGCTCCTTCAGAGAGAGCTGGAGAGCCAGGTCTGTCCTTCAGATATCAAACCTGTAGAAACTGGAATCAAACGATCATACTGCTCTTTAGCTCCGGGTATAATATCTTTGCTAAAACTAGGATGAGCAAAGCAGTTGTATACAAAACAATATAACATAGCACTGTTTCCCATACATTGATTTATATGTCGTAATTTTAATTAGTGAGGTTGGCTGATGATCGGAAGGTTGCGAGTTCAAATCCCGCCTGGAACACCACTACTAGTGTGCCCTTGAGTAAGGCACTTAGCCCTCAGTTACTCCAGGGAGAGTGTCCCTGTAATTGGTCATTGTAAGTTGCTTTGGAATAAGGCGTCTGCTAAATGCCTGAATTGTAAATGATATTTTTGGGAGAATAAACCCCACAGATCCTCAACTCCGGTGTGTCTCACTCATTAACAACGCAACAAGAACGTTGTTACAGTAGCCATGAACTCGCAAGTATTTTCACTTGTCTCCCCACCCCCCCTCAAATAGAATCAAATTCTGTGGGAAACACTGCATAGTTTTATACATTTGGTGAACAGTTGACCGGCTATTATGTGAAATGCTTTGAAAGAGAGTTAATCTTTAAAACAAATGGGGCTCAGATCTGGACTAAGATGTATTTTTCCAGCGACAAAGCCAATGAAAAGTTCTTTGTTATTAAAAAAAACGACTTTATTCTGTCGTCACATATTAGGCTAATGGTTTATAAAACCACTGGAGTCCATGAATCAAACCTTGAACTTAACTCAATTGAGGCCAACAACAAAAAAAGCTTTTACTGTTTGGCTCTCTGAGGTGACATAATCTTTTATGTATGACTTTTATTCCTCGACATGAATCAATCTGTTTGGCTTTGCCCCCCTCTTCAGATTGATGAAGCTGAACAGATGCATCACACTTGTGCAGACAGAGAGAAGCGTCTGCAGCGTCTTCACGGCTGGGTAGAACAGCAGGAAAAAACGCTGAATCGGTGGAAACAGCCCACCAGTCTGACTCTGGCTCGTGAGGCTCTGCTGAAGTGGGAGGTAAAGTACCAGGATGTGAGCAGGTGTGTGTTTGAACTGTCTGTCCTGACACTGTCCTCTGATATCAGACTGCACCTGTTCTACTTCAAGGCTGCTGTGAGCAAAGTGAAGGAGGTGGCTGCAGCTTTGCAGGAGTTGAAAGCTACACGAGTTCACGTTGAAAAAGGAGAGGATCACCCGTGTGATATCTCCTTCTCTGACCGGACGGAGAGGGTTCGTCAAGCGTGTGCAGACCTTAATCAACAGGTACAAATCAATCTGTTACGGCGGTGACTAGGGTTGCCAAATTCCGTGAATTTTGAAAATTGAAGGCTGGCTCTTCCTAGGGAACTTAAATATAGTTGGGGAAAGTATATTTTAGCATAATCTTGACTAAAACAAACACATGCCATTCAAGTACACTTGAATATCACATGCACATACTGTAGCACACTGCTCACTGCATGGCTATTGAGACCACACCCCCTACAGGCACTGTGCATTCCTCCATCACATGCACAGATGATTTCGAGAAGACTGGATCACATTTTGGGACTTTTTGGAGGGAGAAGGGCTCTTTTCATTTAACATGATGAGTGGGGTTGGGGGGGGATGAGTAATATTTAACTCAACATTCCTGTTTTCGTTCTTCAATGAAACAAATAATTGTTCAATAAAATAATAAAAAAATAGTTCTGTTCTACTTCTAAAGTAGAAAAATCTGTTGAAATGTCATGTTTTTTGTTTAATTTTGCATCGAATATTTCCAAAGTTCCCCAGCTTAACTTCCCATGGAAACTTTCCGGAAATGTTCCGCCCCTTTGCAACCCTAGCGGTGACACAGGTTGAAGATTTATTGTCAAGAGAAAGCAGTTAAATGTATTTACCGAGTGATTTAAACTGCATTTTCAGTCAAATATAATATTAAACATTAGGGGGAAAAAGCATAAATCAACTAAATAAAAGACTTGCTGAAACTAACTTGTTGGTTTCCACGTTTCATAGTTTGTTTGGAAAAATTGACACAATGTAGTATGCAGTTTGAATAGGAAATTAACGTTTTCGATACATACAGCTACAATCTGAAAATATGCAAAATGATCTCAAATGAATCATCAATGCAACAACAGAAAGTGATTTACTAAAATGAATTACCACCAACCCTACCTAACTTTCCTATTGAAGACGAGTCCTAAAACTAACCTATGATTTTAGCAAAATTATCATTTTGACCACCATAGCTGTTGGAATATCAGTTAAAGAACCAGAGCCAATGATCTAGCCGGGATACCAGGATGATTTTTTACCAATATTCTTACATATTTTATATTTAGGCAGAAAAGTGCTATTTTTTTTACCCTGGTTTTTAAAAATGTAAAATATAGTTTTCAGCTCTGAAGGATGCTTAATCACCAAACATCATCCTGTCTTCCTCTGTTTCTCTGCAGATGGAGGCTCTGCGGCCGGCCGTACAGCAGAGTGTGGAGCAGTGGAGTTGCTTTGAGAGCGATCTGAGGGAGGTTTCTCTGCAGACCACCAGGGGGCGCTGTGCTCTGCAGCATCAGCCTCTCTTCTCACTGAAGCAGGCAGAGGGACACGTGGACTACCTCCAGGTGAAGAAGCACTGTCAATCATATGTTCCCATAAAAGCTTTACAACTGCCAGAAGAAATCACATTTTATTGGAACAATCGTGACTTTTATTCTGGTAATTGTTGCAGCAGTGCCTTCAAGCAAAGTTTAAAAGGCTTGATGGATTTAAGCTATAATTTAGTAATTGTGCAGAAGGAAAAAAAATGGTCAGCCAGTCGTAACTGTATGAAGTAAAAAGCCTCTCCTGAGAGCTTTGACAGGTTCAGTTAAGTGGACGTCAAGCTCACACTACCAGTCACTTCGATTTTGTACCTGAATGTAGCTGTTAAATAAAAATGTTCATTCACAGCAACTCCAGGAGAAGGCCGGAAAAGGAGAAGAGCTTTGGGCAACTGTGGACAAATCCTATCAAATGCTTGTGAAGACTCTTCATCCTGGAACAACACAGGCGCTGGATGATCAAATGAGAGGAGAGCAAAAACGGTCAGTGGCTTGAAAATAACAAAAACAGATATCTGTGTATCAAACTTAAAGAGGACTAAAGTCGGAAAATCTCTTGCTTTGTCGATTCAGATCATCATTTTTTGTAATAATAGGCAAAACGATAATGCATCGTCACATAGCTGAAAAGAGGGCTGTAGAAAATATAAATATGTTTTCATGTATGCATAATATCTATTACCTATATTATAAGTGCCTTCAAATGTGATCTATGTTACGAGCAGTCAGAGGTACTCAAGCTGCTAGCATGGCATCATATTGAGCTTTTTTGCTAATGTCAATAAAACCGTGTATCAGCGGCCAATCAGACACGTATAGCCTTATTGTATGCAAATAAACATCTTAGAGTTCTGGAGTTCTGGTGTGTTGTGTTCAACTAAGCATGATAGAGTTCAGGGGCCTCATTTATAAAGGGATATACGCTCAAAAAATGGCGTACGGCAGTTTCTACGCAATGTAAAAAAAAAAAACGGGAGAGACGAGAAACTGCGACACCGTTTCTTTGACTATTTATAGGCAAACATGGGCGTTACGTAAAGCCCGCTAAAGCTGCACCGCATTTCGAGTCGGTTGTGATTTATAAAGGGAAACAGGCGTAGGAAAGGCCGTACGCACTTTCCTCGCCGGTACTCAATGTTTGGTGAGTCGGAAAGTGGAGGAAAATATATGGACCTATTTTTCGGATTTCTACTACGTAAGCAACCTTCCCACGTGAATCCTACGCACGGCGTTATTCATGAGGCCCCTGGTGTGTTGTGTTCAGGTGGAGGGCCGTGGTGCAGGAGTTGGAGGATGAACACATGAAGACTGCAGAGACTCTCTCCCTCTGGCAGGAGTTCACTCTCCTCTCTGATCGCTGCTCCTCTCAGCGGCAAACACTGCAGCTTCAGTGGGAGGAGATAAGGAGATCTCCACCTCAGCAGGACACTCAGACAACGCTTCAGTCACTGGAGGTGAGTTTAAATCTGCAGTATTTCATTTCATTTTTATTTGTTACGTTCATGGTATGCACAACTTAATGTATAACAAGTATTTACAAGACATGTCTCTATAACTCAAAATAATTTAATAAATAGAAATAAATGGTCTGTCCTTCATATTTTCTTCTTCACAGCCAGTTCATTCAACAGTAACCTAGGAAAATAAGGGCAACACAAAAAATACTTAGTGCCCACTTGACATTTAACAGAAAGAAACAAAACAACAACACCAATCATCACATGTACAAGGAAAAGTTCAACATCCTCATCTGAGTTCTACTGGAGTAGAAGGAAAGCTGCGCATAATAATAATACAAATAATAAATCTAGCATAGTGTAAGTGCGTGCACCAAAATCCAGTGGTTGTTGATTTTACAGATTGCCTGAACACCCCTGAAGTAATGCTACAGTGTATTATCAAAAAGGTTAAAGCCCTGATCAATATTTTTTTCAATAATTTTTATTTGACATAATTGACTTTTGTTTGATTAAAAACATAACCATACGGTACAGTAAATAAAAACGACTGACATCCACAGGAATCTTTATTCTTAGCATTAAGGGTTTCAACTAGTTTGCTAATAAATGTTTTTTGGTTGGTGGTGCGTGAGTCTGGCTTACATTTTCCTGATAAAGTAAGAGTTTCTTTCACAACAAAATGAAGATGATCAAAGTGTTAGTAGGATGTGCACTTCCATGTTAGCAACACTTACTTGTTTATTTAGGACTCACACATATTTAAAGGTCCCATGTCATGGCCATTTCTACTGATCATAATTCCATTGTTGAGGTATACTAAATATATTGTGCAATTTTCCAAACTCACACTGGTTTCTCATACAGCATCTCTGTATAGTATGTGTGTATTCACTCTGTCCTAAACGGCTTGTTGGAGCTCCTGCCCCCACCTCCCTGTGAGCCCAGTGGCCGTCTGCGAGACAGCAAAACCCAGCCCGAAACACACACACACCCGCAGCCTGGCTGGGAGTTTGTGTGTGTGCCCAGGCTGAGTTCCGGGGTCTCTCGCAAACGTAACGGCTCCGCGGACGTTACGTCACTATTCCCGAAATACGTCACTATGCCCAAGAAGTAAACAATGGAAAAAGAGAAATCCCCAAAGAGGCGTTCTGGGGCAGCATACTGTAGACAGATCTTTCCTGTGTTAGAGTTTTACTCGCTACAGGGTGTACTTTGAGGGTTTGTGACTCAGCAGACAGGTTACATGCAGAAAAACATTCATAACACACAAGGGGACGGGTAATAACCAGAAAAGCATGACATGGGACCTAAGATTTTAAGTAGTTGAATTACAACTAATTTCAGTCATATAGAGCAAAAAAATGATTTGATTATTATTATAATTATTTATTAAATTACTTTTTTGTATACAGATATGAACTCTGATCGACCTTCACATTGTCATTTCATGTTTTTCTCCCACTCATAGAAAGAAACAAACACGATGCACTTTGACCTGTATTGTCCACCTTCTTCATTACATGTTGTTTTGTACATTTTCTCAAAATAATACAAGCTTCAGAGTTTCCATTCATGTCATTTTCCATTTTCTACCCCACTTCAAAATTACTCTCAAGGTGAAGCATTTGAACCATTTGAGGAAAATTCGATTTAATCAGATTTTTCAAGAGGATAAAAAGCTCGACGATGTTTTTTTTTTAAAGATTCATTGATAAACATATTTGGAGAGATGATGGCAGGAAGAACATTTTGAGCACAGTAAATAAACATATGGTTTAAAAAGCAAAGCTCATCTTTTGTTTCTTTCTCACTCTAACATCAGAAGTTGCGAGATGCTGCTGAGGATTTGCAAAGCAGTGTGGGAGATGTGCTTGCTGATTCCAAGCCTCTGATTGGACGTCTGGAGCCTCTGGCCGCACATTTTATCCAATCAGAGACCAGACTGTTGTCACGTGACGTCGTGCTGCTGAGCCAGGCAATGTCAGGAAAGAAGAAAAGTCTTCAGGTGAGGAAGACCGCAGAAATATCATATCATATTAAAAACTATCTATAATCTTGACATTAAAATCACCAAATGTCCAACTGTTGATGTTCAAACATACACATGAGTTTAATATTACCAATATCACACCTCTCTCTTGTGTGCAGGATGATTTGGACCAAAGGGAACTTTTTCGTAATCGCCTGGAGGCCATTGAGAAGCAGACACAGAACACACAACAGAAACTCAAGACAAGCCTTAAAGACCCAGATTCTGTGAAGGTCGGTCACAATCCCTACTGTTTTCCATTATTTGTCTTTCTCACGTACATCAATTCATTAAAAACCTTAACTCTAAAGCAGATGTTTTTTAAACACCAAAGAGTGGTAAGCCTCATCTACATTATACATCATACCTAATTCTAATCTTAACATACAGACATGGTAAACATATATGTAGATTCAGCGTAACTTAGCAAGCATATCGTTATCTCTGATGAGCTTCCAATGCCTACAAATCCATTTAGATATCATAGAAAAAGAGATTTAAGTTTTCTTTCAAATTAAAGTAATGTAGTGGTTTGTATGGTTACTTAGCAAACAGTTAATATGGCGTGATTTCATTAGTGCCAAACAGTTAGGGTTATAGAAATGCGGCTCAAGTGTTAGCCCACAGATAACTAATTGACTCTATGGTCAAATTGTACCAACTGTTTACATTCCCCAAAAAACACATTCTGGGAGCTGTAGTTCCTAAACATAAAAGATTAGTAGGAGTAAAAAAATCCATCGATTTCACATTTTCACTTAGTGTGCCGTTCTCTCATTTTGTTTGGAGGTTGCCCGCAGAGAATTGATTTTGTGTTCTTTTGTTATTTGTATTTCTCGGATGTGCAGCAGGTTCTCCTGGAGCTCAGAGATGTGTTTCCATTACTGGTTGACATCAGGGAGATGAGTGTTTACCTGAGCCTCAGCGACCAGGAGAGGCAGAGAGTGCACACGCTCAGCAGGCTCTGGGCTGAAAGCATGACTCACGCTTCGAACAGGAACAGGTGAGGACATTCAGCTCCAAATGACGCACTGAAGAAAATGCATTAGGTGTTGAATTAATGCGTGTTTTTTCAAAGACACATTTTTTTTTCTTTATAGGAGCCCTTGAAGTGATTTAAGTGATTCTCGCCTTGTGCTGACATTTGAAAAATCATCTGTAGTTTAACAAGATGTAACTGAACACTGAATGTGTCCATTTCAAAAGGAGCTTCCGGTCCATTTGTCCTTTCATTTGTACCTTTTCCCCCCCAGTGAGCTGCAGGCCGTGTGTCAGCGTTCCCAGAGCTTTCAGGAGAAGTGTAAGAACCTGACGTCCCTCAAGAAAAAGCTTGAGGATGAATCACTGTCGAAAGAAACCCAACGTTTCTCCAGCCTCCAAGAAATGCTCACTGTTCATCAGGTACAATTCCCTTTTCAGATTCTCTACATTTCTTTCATTCAGAGATAATAATTAGAATAGTATCAGACCAACTGGGACTCATTTCTTTCTTGTTTTAGGTCAAACATTCAGTCAACACTCAGTACGCTGACTATAGAAGCCCAAACCTTTGTCTAATATGTTACTGTGAGTTTGGCAGAACATTAGAAAGCTTGACTCGCATTTCTTCTAAATAGTGAATCTTATTCTGAGGCATAACGTTTGTCTTAATGACTCTAAAATAATGTAAATGTCTTCAGCTTTTGTTTTATTGTCTGTCTTAGTCAAATAAATAGTCAAATTCACTTTACACCTGTTGTCTCTTTCCCACAGACGCTTGAAGCAGAAACAACGATTGGACACCAGCTGCTTCAGGCTCTTCTCTGTGATGCTGTCGAGTCCATGGAAAAAGAAACAGGACAGAAAAGGTATATAAAGGAACAGTCTTTGAAGATTTGAAATGGCAGTTGTAACACAAAACAATATCTGGTAAACCTAACCAGGCTTAATGAGAGTAATCTTCCTCCTCTCCATAACTTCACCAGTGCCTCTTTTAAAGGTGGGGTAGGTCATTTTGGAGAAACCAGCTCGAGTGCGCTAGAATTTGAAAATGCACAGCTGGAACAAATCTTCCACTTCCTCACAGAGCCCCTCCTCCAACACACACAACGCGCACATGACCAATGAGGGCACGAGATAAGTTTGTGCACAGATGGAAGGCTGACAGGCAGGTAGGCCATCCAGTTACTTTAGCCGGGCCGGCTCAGATGATTGGTCGTGCTTTTTACAGTGCACGGCTTCCACAGATGACATTTTTTTATGTATTTTTTGTCAAAGCACTTCAGATATTCATTGCTATCGGGATGTTAAGAGCATTCCATGGAATATAACAAAAAGTGTATCTCGAGCCGGTTTCTCAAACTTACCTACCCCACCTTTAAGGACTATAATGAGGTTTAGACGTTTAACAAAAGATCACAGCATTCCTCAGCTTCAGGAGTGAGCTTAGTTCAGCAAACTCCTCAGTGTGGTTAGTTGGTCTGGTTCATAAGAACAGCAGGTTTTTTTTACTCCATTTTGGCACCAAAATAGCATCCCTGTAGCTTTTAATTGTCAGTTCTGATTTCTTCCTCCTTCACTCCCTCTTTTTGTCATCAAGGTTCAAGGTTTATCTTACTCTGAATTTAGATAAGAGCCACACGTTTGAAGTACAACAACCAATCAATA